TAATTCTGTGAGAAATGTGCAAATATGATCTAATCCTGAGCTGATGTGAGCTGAGAGGAAATATAGAGCAGGATTACAACTGATGAGTCACAGTGCTGACTGAGGGGAATGACTCATCAGCTTCGCTAATGCCATATCCGGCATATTGTGTCATAAAAATAAAAGAAATGAGTGGATATTCGGTTTGAAAGTTATTATTGTAAATAGCTCGATAAATCCACAGACTCAACATTAGTTAATTAAGTGCGGACCTAAGATTAATGATATGACATGAAGATGAATATGAAGCACTGATGTAAATAAGATTACAGTCTGAAGATGCGTTCGGTCATATCGGTTCCAGCTTTAATGCTTCAGTATTTACTGTGTGCAGGGAGGGAGGGGGGAGGAAGGGGGGAGTTTGTATTCACACTGTTGAATTATTTGTTTTTGAAATGAATTAATGAAAATAGTTCTGACTGCAGGCAATTCTTCAGTTGATCCATTTGTTCCATTACTGACTCCAATAGAACTTCAGTAAAACTTTATAGTAAACTTTAAAGGTCCAATGTGAAACACTGAGGAAATATAATATCATATTCATTGGTTTGTTTTCATTATTGTATAATTACCTGAAACAATAGGCATTGTGTTTTTGTTTCCTCAGAAGGAGCTGTTTTTATCTACAGATGCTGCGGGTCGCCTTCCATAGAGTCCACTGTGTTGGATCGCCATGTTTCTGCAAACCAAAGATTCACAACAGTTTCAGAGCGCTGCGGCGGCGTGAACCGGTTGTCACCTGTTTCAACAACCAATCGGCTTGTTGCATAGTCAGCTGGTCAAAATGGAGATGAGTTTTCAACGAAGGAAAAGCCTTAAAATAACAACAAGGCTTTAAAAAGCCTAAAAATAAACGCGTGCACCCACAGTCGGCTCCAAATCCTAGACCCTCTCATTTCATCGTAGGACGCTACAAATGATATCCAGCTACAGAAAAAAAAGCCTAAAGGTACACGGAGTCGTTGCTTGTTTCGTCTATTTGCATTGGTGTGAACTGGTAGCGCTTCAACGTGTCTTATTGTGAATCTTTGGTCTGAACTGGGCTTTAGAAAAAGTTAATGTCACTTTAAGTTGGAACAACACAAAATTGGGTCAATACAACTAAATAGTAGATATAAAGTAAACGTAACTAGTAGTTACATTTACTAAGTTTACACTCTGGTCCTTTAATTCAGTGGGTGTTTCCACCAACCCTGCAAATGAAACCAAAATAGTCAGAATCTCTAAATTGACCAGTGCATGAAAAAAATATGTATTTGGCCGCAGTAAACACACCCTGTCCCACACGTTCTTCAAGTCACTTTAGACTTTCTGATTTGATCTTTCCCCATCTTTAAATAACCCTGCTCTAGTTGCAAAGAGCACATATTCTATTACAGGAGAAGTTATTGTAGGAAAAACTAACTAACTATCTGCTTCCTCATCTTTTTAATAAAAACATAATCCTACAGGCATCTGTATGCATGTTGATTTCCTGTAAAAAAGCAGCATATGAATATTATTTCCAGTAGGCAGGGTTTACTAGCAACACGCTCACTAACCTGCACTGAAACGCACCACCGAGTGGAGCAATGCATAAAACCTGCTCATAAACGACTGGAAACTGGTTCTGACTTCACTTCCACAAGCTCCATCGAGCACAAATTCAGGTTGGAGGATTTCACTCAACTGAAATCAAATGAAATGAATCACTAACTGCTGGAATATTTATCTCCTGCTGCCATTTAGGGCCAAACAGCAAGTATTTCACGTCCTCCTGCATGCCATTAATGGCACTTAATGCTTTTAAAAAACTCTCACCAGTTATTGAGCAGCGAGCGTTTAAGGAGCGCCTCTTGACATGCCGGCTGCAACTGTTGTGGTTGACCCGAGTGATTCAGAAGGCCGTAACTGATCTGTGCAGTAAATCTGGGCCTGCTGGGCCAAGTCTTGTTCCATCTAATTTTCTTTTCCTTTTCCGTACCGCTGTTTGTTTTTTCTGCTGTTATTTCTTTTCCTTCAGATCTGTCTGAAGGGAATTTTTAGGGTTGGAAAAAGAGAAACAAATGTTGTCGGAGCACCTTTTTAGAACCTATGGACATGGATTGTGTCTGTGTGTAGAGCCGCTGACAGTCGGCAGCTTTGTATCTTGAATTAAAGTTCAGAGCACGGCCTGCTGCCGTTTTTTGTCATTTCACCCTCTTCATCTCTCTTATTTCTCATTCCCTCCATCTCCATTTGTATTCTTCACAAACACTTCATCCTGGCTGGTA